TAAATTTGTAAATAATTGGAAAAATGTAAAAAAACGATGCCATTGAAAGAGTTATTAAATATTGAACTGTTTTATTGAATGGTAATTAAAATTTTAATCTCATTTATGAAAAACATTTATGCAACAATTTCTTACTTATTTATAATTGTTGATTGATGTTTTTAAAAAATACAAAATTGACGTAATATTAGTTTTATCCAGATTGAAGACAGATAATAATTGTAGACAACGTAAATAGATGCAAGTCAGATAATCCTATCAAACATTTATTAGAAAATTTCTACGTGACTTAAAACAACACGTTGAACAATTCTATGAGCCTTACTTGTCTGAGAATATCGTTTTCTCTAAAAGTTCGTCGCTTCAAATGTTACACAGCTTTTAATAGGAAATTCTTGAACTTTTGACACGTACGACCTTAACAAAAATCGATAGCTGAACGGAAATTAAGATGCAGGTGTGTTTGTGTTCTCCCCCCCTTCGAAAAACAGGATTAACAAAGTTCACGCTGCGAACTGTTCAATTTTTCTTTGCGCATAAGTTTAGATGTAGGACGACAAGGAAATGGTTGACCTATCGATGAGAAAAGGATTTGCAAAGTGAGAAACAAAGGCAGCCGCTCTTCTGTACACGTATAGTTGGCTATAAGTTTCGTCGATAAGAGGAAAGATTCTTCAGCGTAAAGTTCTAAGCGGCTGCACCGTTGACGCACGTGCACCAATCGTAAATCGCACCTCGTTCCTGAAAAGTTCCGAATGCAACATTCAATTTGTTGCGGCTCTCCCCCCATTCTATCTCTCCCCGCATTATAGCAATGTCCCCATAAAGCCCTCCCTGTAATGCAACTTCGCGATTTCCACTATTTCACGGAATTCATTGGGACGAGCCATCGAACTCATTACCATTCGACGCAACCGATAAAAGCCGACGATGAATCGTCACACCGATCGACGTGGGGGAGAAAAAAAAAAAAAAGGATCGAACGTTCACAATTTTCATTTTTATTTCACTCGGCAACCCGTAATTCCCCCGGCTCGTTCGATAACCATAATTCTTCGAGTTGGAGTATTAGAAATTCCTACGAATTCCGAGGATTCGTTCAAAGAAGCAAACAAATGGCTCCGAATTAGGCGAGGCAGCAGATCTGTCCGCTTTCGAAGGTACGCAAGCGAAGGCGTTTCCTTGATAAAAACTTTACAGCACCCATCAATTTCCCGCGGCAAGCGAGAAACGCACCGCGCCTCTACCCCCACACAAATAGTAATTCACTTCTCGTTAAATCAAAGCGGTCTGCCCATTAGTTAGCCAACGATGCTACGGGCTTCCTTCCATAATTCCATATTCTGCATGTAGGAATACAAAACACGTTTTCTTACTTAGAAAGTGGAAAGAAACAATGTAAAGTAAATGTCTCAATATTTTATATTGCCTTAAAATCATCGAAAAACGAGCCAGTCAGTAGAAATTGAGACCTGTTTGCACAAATTACGACTCTTTTAGCTTTGGAGGGTTTATTAAATTACGTATCATGGATGCGAGTCACAGGGAATGACCTCCGAACCCTTTCTATCCAACCACTGATTTATCAATTGTCACCGTGCGCGTATAGTAATCTATTTATCGTTATATTTATCATCGACGCGACCCTCTTTATTGTGGCTTGACAGCTACGAAATCGGGGCAAGGATCGGAAACTATTCGTCAGCGGCTCGCGAAGAGTCGAGGTTTATAGTGTAACGGCGCATAGCTCTGGAGTTACCGGCTGGCAGAATGTGTTATAGGGAAAGGGAGAGTACAAGGGAGGGAATAGATATGCCACGGTACAAGGGAGGGAAAAGATTTATGATGCTCGTGCGTCAGCTCGCACATCTCAATTTCGGGATGCCGCGAGTCAGGAGCCACGTCGACGACGACGACGACGACGGCGGCGTAGGCTCCCTTTTGTTGCTACCGGAGACGACCGGTAGAGAACGGGACGATAAGAAAGAAGATGGTACAAAGAAAAGAGGGGGAAAAAAGGTGATTCGAGATAGGGATCGGATTGAGCGAGGAGGCAGGAAAAGCGGCGTGCACCTTTTGTCCGTCCTCCCCTTTCGCATTAACCGCCCAGAATCCTTCCGGTTATGAACAAGCGTTTTTAATTAACAAAAGTCAGATCGCCGCGTTTGACTTTCACGTCCTCGATATAACGTGGCGTTCGAGTCCGGTCTGTTTGAACAGATCGGTCAGTGGTACAATATTTGTTTGGGGAATGTGGATGATGGAAAGCAATTAGATAGCAGCAGTTAATACTCGAGGAATGAGACGAAAGGATCTGTGTTCTTACGCTACCGCCAGAGTCACCGAAGCTGAAGTTTTGACGATAGTTCGCGGCTGTCTCAGCAGCATTCAAATTGGGCGTGATAATTGAAAGCGTTATTGAGAAATAAGGCCGATTTCCGACGCGAACTTCCATTCATAATCGATGTTCATAACTTCGTAGGCAATATTAGTCTGGGTGCCGTAATTCTCAGTAACTACCGTGTTAAAGTTACATTTATCGATGGTAAACTTCCTTTTCCGAGTTCGATAGTTTCGCAGCAACTCCGTCACGGCCCGGGGAGTCGTCCTAAGTAAATTGTTCGTCCGCGCACCCGTCTCCCGTTTCAAATTCATTCGCCGGAAAACAACCGTTGTCTCCTTTCCCATAGAGAAACAGTCTCCTCCTTTTGGCACGGTGTCCGCGTTGCAGGACGACCAGAAAAAGAAAGATGCTCATGAATAGACCGCGGATTTTTATACAAAACCTCTGTGATACCAATTTAAATAATGAAACGTAAATCAAGATTTTTTTTACCGCTCCCAAAACGTTCTTTATATTTTCAGCGGATCAAGTTTTTCTATGAATGCAAACAAAAATCCGCGGTCTGCTCATGAATATTCAAACGGAGGAGCAGGAGGATCGAACTGGATGGAAAACAACCGTTTGATACCTCGCAAGGTAGGTAGATATTATTAAAACGCTTGCGTCGCAGCGTCCCTTTTTAAATATTTACCAACGCGAGCAATATTATTTTTTGTTTATTACGACGACGAAGGAACCGTATAATCGCTTTTACACATTACGCTTTAACAAGAGAATTTAATATCTCGTTCATTTTTAAACAGGAAATTTGTAACGGAATTGAAAATAACAGAAGTTTCGATTGAACGCGTTGCGGACCATTCCGAGATATCTCGCTTTTCTTTGACGGGTCAAATAAAGTGAGTAACGATAAAAGATAAATCGCGTTACAAAACGCGTGATAACTTCAGCTAACGATTTTGATCTACGATAGGATTTTGTAAATTTCATCTCCGAACGAGTTACCATTCTTGAAATTAAAATGCCATCGATTATGCTTGTCCATCCACCGATTAGACGGATTCATCGCCGATGCAGTGCACATTACGCGATCGTTGATAACAGCCATTAACCAGATCGTCGAACGTAAGTCGCATTGTCGCACAGCTCCGCGATCTCTTCGTAGAAAGAATGCCGAATCGCGAAAACGGAGGAGTGCCAGCGCTGCGTACGTTTCGAAACTCGCAATGACATTTTAGTTAACGTTCAATCACGCATAATGAAAATTTCATGCGATTCGACTAATAACAGAGTTCAGATTCTATCAACACACAGTATGCATTTAAATATAATAACGAAACCATTACAAGGAAGAAGATGAATGATCTTGCCGAACGTTAAAATTGAAAATCATCTTGTTTCAATCATTAGAAACAGAACTCGTGGATTAAAACCGACGATGTATCTCGAAAGGTATTTTGAGTACGGGTTTTGTTCCGACTAGAGTACCATGAATTTCCGAATGGCACATGAAAAGCTAAAAAATGTTGTTTCCGGCTGAAAGCGACTCTATGCTCGACTCCCTATTTTTCTCCGTGTCCCGTTTAATGGAATAGCCCCGAAAACATGAGATATGACCCGGACAAAATCGAAAATCGAAAGGAGAACACGAAGATACATCGTTTCGACGGATATAACTGAATCAAGCACTTCTATTTTGTAGCCGAAGTAGCGTGCGCGATAAATCGGCACTCTTTTTACGGTGAATATTCGCCAAGTTCGAATCGTTGGACGCCGCAAGTTCATTCGAAGCAGCTCCGTTCTCCATATAGAGTGCAAAGAATGATCTTAAGAAAGAAGACACGACGCTCCTCTCGAGTATTCTCCAACAGCGAAATTCTCAAGATCGCACATCCTTTGTCCGAGGGCCGAAGGTGCTCCATCCAAAGACAAAGCACCCGACTCTCTTTCTTTTTTATACGCGTGCCATCCCCTCGGATAACATGCACGTATATGCGCATACCACGAGAGGGTACATACACGCGTCCACGTGATTACAATTCAACAAGGCCTCAGTACGAAAGTTATACGAATTCGAGTTTCGCCTGGTTTTTCTCGCGTCGGAAAGCGGTAACAACAAGAAGCCCTCGCAGGCGAGCAATACCAAGTTCTCTCATTAATGTTTAAATTGTTTTCATGTTCATTATAAACAATTCGCCTTGTGACCCGTCGGGTGTGACTGAATACAATAAAACTGCGTCTAAATCGAAAGTATTCAACTCGATATTTCAGTGGAATAAGAATTTTCTTATAAATTATTATTCCACGAATTTTGTATAATAATCGAATCCTGACGTACAATAGAATTTGCACATTCGTTTTCTCCTTATTTCCGGTTTAGGCGCACTTTTTCGCGGCCAATTAGAAATCACCTATTAGGTGCTCAGTCACTCACTGGAGGGTCACTAAGTATTCCTACCGTGACTATGATTTATCGAAACGTATCGCTATATTACTATTACTATTATACTTGTTATTATTACTACTATTAATAAAACGTACTTATGCGTTTGGAAAACGATCTCTCCTTATTATAAGCTACGACTGCTCCGTCTGACATTTAGACCGCTGAAGATAACGTTAGAGGAAAAGAAATTTTAATCCCCAAGGGACTTACCCGGTGGACATTTGCACTCGGATGCGACGTCTCGCTTGAACCGAATTCCGTTCGAATGCAGATAATTCTGTTCGATGTAGATCCTCTGCGTGTCTAGCTGTTGCTGAACCTCCCTCTTGAACCTCGTGATATGGTCCGGCATTTCTTGTAGCTGCAACCTGGCCTCCAAACTGGCGATCCGCGATTCCAATCCCAGTTCCCTGTACATCAGCAAACCGGACACGGCGAGGCTGCTAATACAGAGGGCGCACATCGCCCAATTGACTATTGCCCACCGGCAGCGTTCCTTCCGGAATTTCCTCGGCATCGATGTCTCGAGGGAGCCCATTCCCGGCGACGGCCAGTCGGCCGCCGTGTCGGACTCCATGTTGCTCACAACAGGATCGACACGCGCTCGCTTCGATTTCGTGCACGCAGCGCGTTAAGCGCGCGTCATAACCCAGCCGACGACCACGGTCGCCGATATACGTCCTGACACGACAATCACGGATAAACGCGATATAATGGAGTAACCACGCGAGCCTTACAGACTGTGCGGCGTCATCGTCCATCTGGAATGCATCTCGCGCTCGCTCTCCCGCTCTTGCCCGTTCCTATTGCTTACCTCTCCTTCTTACGACCGCGTATACTCCCGTTCCTTCCTTTACCGTTCTGCGAGCCACGCGTTCTCCTATAACTCTCCTCCTCGCGATACCTGCCGCGTACGCGTATACGCACGCACGCACGGTTTACCTACGTGCCCGTGCTGTACCTTCGGCGAACGCACACGCGCTCTTTCTCCTTTTATCCCTCCCTCTCTTGAACGGGTAATCGACGTTCCCAGTTTGACCGCACACCACTGACGTTGGTAAACAACGAGTCCGGTGTCACCAACTAGAAACTATCGGCGAACTGTTTCGAGTACTGGTGGAAAACCGCGCGCCCGTTTCAAATGTTCGTAAACAGCAATGACAGCGTCTCTCTGCCGGGCTCGGTACGCCGCGAACGGATCACCATGCATACGTACATGTACCGTCTAGCCGCGCGCCGTGTTGCTCCTTTATGAACCTTCTATTTCCGTCTATCTTGCTCTCCGAACCTCTTGTACTTCCTGTTGCCGCTGCCGCTGCGAATCGAGCATCACCCGGCGCTGTCGCATCGCGGTTTCTGCCGCTGGCTCGGCTTGCGCACTTTCTAACACTCCCGTTAAATACGCGATTCGGGAAAATCGAGGATTCGAACACACGAATATATATGTATATATATTATCTACCTCGCCTTCGTACGGCCGGGCCTTTTCTTTTCCTACGACACACGCTGCGCTCCGCGGGCTAGCTGGCAAGACAGGATAGAACGGAGCGGCGACGGTACTCGACCGGTCGTCAAAAACTATAAAATCGACCTCGGATCCTATTGGAAATCGGCCGGATTCCGTCTGCGACCAACTGCGGATCACGCGTATTCAATCGGGGTAACAACACTGTCGAGGTGGTTCGATTTATTGGGCGAGTGGGAAAAAGGTGCCAAAATACCGCGAATACGAAGCTCACAGCGTGGCATTCGCAGTACGACTGGATGTGGTGGGGCGACGCTTTGCCGAGGGCCGAGGGTTCGTCGCTTCGGAGATATTCGTGGAGATTCGGCCGTCTTCGAGGCTCCGACTCATCCACCGGCTGCCGGACGCGTGGAGGACGATCGCTCGACCTAACGTCCACTTCCATTCGCACTGATTCGACCCTGCTTCCCTTGCCCTTCCATTTACCCCTCCGATGCGACCCTTCGCCACTCGAATGGATTTCGCTGCTGGATCTACTATCTTTTTGTTTTGCCTCTTCCTTTCCTTTCCGTTCCTTTCCTTCGTCCCCCCCGTCTCCTCGCGTTACCCGTTCCGATTGCACATCGTCGCCGGGACACATACGCGAAATTGCTTCAACTTGTTTAACGTTCAACCCTTTTGCTCTCCGACGACCGTGCACGAGGTGCGACGAGAACCAACGCGGGTATTGATGACGGTTAATGAAGCGCGAGAATATCAATCCCTTCGCGTACTGTATATAATTCGGGACAGAATTCGCTGGCTGTCAAATCAGTTCATATTGCCCGTGGACGATGATACGTGTGATTTCCTAAATTTGAATTTATGCGTTTGATAGCAAAACTTTGATACCCGATTATGTCAACTCGGCAATTCGTACTAATGCAGCGGATGAACATTTCGATTAATTATAATGAAACGTATGATTATCTAAACATTATCATTTCGAGCCTGGCGTTACTTGTTTCCAATATATTGATTTCATTTCGCATGTTTGAATGTCGTGTAATAATTAAAACGATGGATGATTGGAACAATGGAAGTTACGTCAGGAAATATCGATCGGTGAATCGATCGTTTCCCTTGAAACACATCCCCTATGTGTATACGTGACGGATACGTACAATCGACCCCTTGCTACCGTCCAATCGCTAGCACAGGAAACGATTATAGACTACATCCTGGAACGTACGGTTCGGCGTGTTCGCCCTATGCGCGTATACTAAATCGAATGCTGCAGCAACCTGCTAACGGTATAACTAATAACTGGACAAATCGTCGATACGCGGCGGAACAACAGAAACAATAATCCGAATGCATGAACGTCGATTGAGAATTCGCAGAATATTGTCGAAACATACTCTGACATATGTATTTCATGCTAATAATTCAATGCACGTATCCACAAACGGGAAACAGAATACAATGGTTAATTATTTTAAAGCTGTATGAGATGTCCTTAAATAAAAGTAATGACGAAACATTTTAATAATTATTTACGTAAATTCATATTTTTATAAATGAAATTAAAAAGGCGAGATGGATAAATAGACGAGACTCGTCTAAATATTATAAATTGTGATTTTATATTTCTTTACATACATATTACTAAATGATGTTTCTTTAAAATTATTTTAAATTTTCAGAGGCAGACAGTCTGTCTTATGTTAACAATAATGACAGAATTTTGTAAAGCCTGTAAAGTCTGAATAATATCAATATTAAAGGAATTATTTAAGACATACAATAAAAAAGTAGTTGTAAGTCGGGTATAATCCTATCAGAAAGTATAAAAACTATATATTAGGATATTAGAAATTATACAAAAAAGTTCTCTGAGTTTTGAAAAAAAATCGGGCAGTTGAGTAAATAGTTTTGCTAAAAAATCAATCTTTCTCTACAGATCAATTTTCTAATCAATCAATCTAAAATTCTGATCAATTTCATTTGAATTTTCAACTCTGACTTTTAGACACGTTTATGTACTCACCTAATATGCTGCAATTTTTCGTAGAGCAATTTCAGTAAATTGCCAAAGTAAATAATATTTCCCTGAGTGACACAATCCAGACACAGACGGTTTCCATTAGTATTACCATAGGAGGACGTAGTTTAGATGTGTAGAAGAAACAGAAGCGCAGCTAATCGTGCCAGCAAACTTCACATTCCAGTCTGTTACCGTCCTGAATTTAATCGAAACTCTTTCAGCCGTGAAATCGTACTATATCTTACGAGCTCGCATAGCTCCCCGTTTCCTTGGTCAAAGCTGGCTATGTACTAATCGGTGAAAACCATTTGGAACCTGCACGAACGAGAGGTTCATCTTTGATGTTCTCGGATGTTTCTCTTATCTTGGAAACTGAAGGTCTAAACTCAAGTACGTGTACAAACGACTTGGAGTTGTCCTTTAATGCCAGCCGCTCTAATGCGTATCATTTTGTCTCCCGAAGTATCTAAAATTCAACTCTCCTCTTGAAAATCAGAGAGCAACGAAAATTTCGGAATTGTTTCTCAAGTCGAGACAGAATCGTGATCACCATCCGCGGCAGGTCGTCGTTTTATTCCTCGATGGAAACTTGTTCCTTTCTCACAGTTCGTGTATAGCAATTTTGCGCACCTGGTATAGAAGGACATTATAGAGAGGTTGAACGCTCGGCGAGAGTACTTGTCCCATCCGAGACTACTTTCTGCATCGACAATGGATCGCGTTGAGAGCCTCTGGGAACGGCAAACCGCGCGCGCTTCGAGGGGTGAACTTCCAGCGTGCGTCGTGATTAAAAAGTCATCGCGGCCGATGCCCTCTTCACGGCACGTTGGTCATCGTTGGGGTGCGGTACGAGGCACATTATGTCGCGTTTCCGCCAGGAAGCAGGCGCAGTCGGGACGATAGTCTGCACCTCGTTTCCGTGGGCACTCCGAGAGAACGTGCCTTGCGGACGCTGCGGATAAGGATGAAGATACGCGGGCGGGGAGCCGTGCGAGCGGGACGCGACGATACAACGATAGCCCCGAACGTGGGACGGAGAAAAGGGGATAAAAGAGGCGGCGGTGGAGGAAGGCGGAGGGGGCGGTAGCCGTGTACCTACGGACACGTCCGCGACACTAAAGCAGACTCTCATTTCGGGGACGAATCCCGAAGCCAGACCCCCGCGAATGTGTCTGCACGTGCAGCAGGGCGAGCGAGCCGCACCGGCGGCAGCGGCGGCGGCACGGCACGGTATGGTGCAAAGGGGCGCGGGGACGGGGGTGCTAGCCAATGTGCAGTTTGTATTCCGCTCGGCAGAAAATACCCGTTCGTTACAATGTATACCTACGGACGCACTCGCCGAAACTTGTCCTCGTCCCCGTCGACGTCGACGTCCTCGGTCTTATCTCCTTTCTTCTCTACCTGCGACGTCCCTTTATATTCATAACGATACTCCCGCCCGAGAAGTACCGATACGACGCGCCGCGATATATATTAATTTGCTCTCTGATGGAAATCCTGATACGTGTTTCCAGCGAGCATATTGTCTGAATTATTTTCATTGCACACCTACTGTATATTAACTACGCAATTGCCAACGTCGTTTCTGTCACAGACAGAAGTAAATTAGATTCTACTTGTTTCTATTACTCTGTACAATTCTAGGATATAAGAAATTAGTTTCTATTTCATAATGATTCCTTGCATTAGCTTCTTATCTTCTATTCAATATGAGAGAGAGAGAGAGAGAGAGGTGGGTTCTTGGGTCACAGATATTAAAAAAGCGCCGGTAAAGAACGGAGGAGGAAACGGTGCCCGGAACGCTTCATTTAATTTTACGACAGCCTCGAAACTGATGGCTACATCGTCATAGGCGAACGCGCATTATAGAATTTCTTTAACTTTATTGGAACTCGTTCAGAATATACGTAATAACGTATTTGATGACCCAGACGTCTGAGATGGACAGACTCAGCTGTAGCCGCGATAGGAAAGAAAGTGGCACAGATATGGAATAGAATGATGTCGTGAAAAAAAAAGAAATGGAGGAATCAGTGCGCGCTGGAATGAATAATTTGATTGTTTATTTTCGTGCGAACGATTTAACGAAGCGCTGCGGCTAATGTTGGGGTGACAAGACAAGTGGATACTTCCCTCTCTGTACGATCGGTCGGATGAAGAGTCAATGAAGGGTCTCGTGATCATTATTGGCTAGACAAGGAAAGCGTACTCGCCAGCTTTGTTCCTAGCCGGGCATTCGAATAAAGAACAGACGACTTATCCTCTGTAAATCATTGCGAATACACGTTTGATAACGAAACCCTTGTGAGAGATGCTTCGAAACTTATTTCATTGCTCGGACGCGAGGATTATTTGGCTCCACGATCGATAATACCTTAGCACAAAGTATTCTTTGAATCTTGAAGTACAGTAGCAAACGGACTACGGGTACGGTTATCTTGAGCCGTAAATACGAGCAAGTTAAATAAATAACGCGGCGCCTTAAACGGGAAATCTCGTGCAGTGAACTGGTCAACGTCGAAGTAGGAGCAGCGTTTTATTTGGGTCAAGTACCGTCTAGAAGTACTGGGAAACCTCTTTCGTAAAACTTCGCCAGATATCGTGTTCCGTCTGGGACCAGACACGGCGACGACGCCGTCCAGCCGAAGTCGAATCGAGTCATGTTCCGGAGCAGTAATAATAACCGCGAGAACTCCATTGGCTATGCATAAGCTCATAAGCCAACACTCGCCGGATCGGTTCCAGAACCACTCGTTTTGAGAACCCCATTCCGCTGCTACGAACTTCCTGGCGTCGATACGAAATAATCAATCGCGTCCATCAGGCTGGGTCGGACGCGTAATCGCGGAGGATTATGATCGCACGGTCGGCAAAGCTGCGACGAGTGTCATAACGTTGCGCAGCCTCCTCCTCGAGGAGCGTAACCGCGAGTGTCCGGATATCGCTGGGACAAGGTCTTTGTACTGTAATCGCAGGAAGACGATAATCGACGTAAATACCGCAAATCGTCGGCAATCGGCGAGGGTAGTTTTCTAAGCCCACACGTACCTACACGGTATCCACCTAAACCGCGATTCGCGACAGCACGTCCACCCGCAAAATCGCAGCCGCATATTTAATTCCCATCCTGCCCTACTTGATAACAGGCTAATCGCACACGACGTTATCAGTGAAATTAATCAAATCACATTTCTTGCCTTATTACGAAAATGAAAGATATTCCTTTTCTCCGGAGTCCATATCTATTTTTTTATTTCACTCCGCGTTTTCATGTCTCGTCACGTTCGCG